GAAGGGCTGGCACAGCTTTAGGAGGGCAGCCCCCAGGTTGAGAAAGAAGGCATCTGAGGCRTACATCTGGAAGAAAATCTCTGGCATCTGGTTAGCCCAAATTTTGGTGCGGCCTGCATTCGCATGGAGGCAGTTTCCCAGCCAGGAGAGAATCCTGTGCTTTGTCTCTGGCAACAACTGCAACAGRTTCTTCAGTATCTGGTAGATCTTCTCATGGAACTGGGCCATGAACTGTTACAGGGAACAGAACATGGGTGAATGAGTCCTTGGGGGTTGCTCTTTTGCCTCTCTGYTATCAGACCCTTTCTGGCTCCAGACCATCCCCACCCCCCCAAGCCCCGATATCACGTCCTGAACCCTCACACAATGAGGGGCCACTAAACACCACAGTAAGAGCAGTGCCCTGCTTCTCCCACCTGATGGATGTTGGATTCCTGCACCTTAATCTCTTGTGGGCTGGATCGGGATGGGTTCAGAAAGTAGCCGTGGTTCTCCACCACACCAGGGGTCTTCAACAAGCAGGAGATATTTAAAATGGCACCGAACAAAGTCTTCTGGTACATCTGCCCATTGCTGGGATCCTTGGGCTGGATGTAGCCTGCAAAAACCTGGGGAATGCATCAGGACATTATGACAATTGTCCAAAATTCCAGTAAAAAAACTCTACAAACTAATGGGTTTGGGACAGGCTATGAAAAAGGAGAGGAGGGGTGAGATTAAACACAACAGATGCTACATCACACTGCTGGTTTGGCCTCTGCAGATCAGGTTTTGTAAACGTGGCCCTGCTAAAAGCTCCTGCCTAAGCCAAGGTACCCACCTTTGCTATGTCCTTCTGCTTTGTGAAGTAGAGGAGCACATCGAGGTATGTGTACAGCAGAATCTGGCAGAGGTCCAGGTCCTTGAGTCTCCCCAGCAGAATGTCAAACACGGGAACCATCACCTCCCCAAACGTCCGCACCTCCTCATCCATCGTTAAGGCTTCTATCACCTCCTCAAGGAACTCGGTCATGTCTTCAAACTCTGGCAGGTGACATAAGGCTGTTACTCCCAGTGTTCCAACAGACAAACCGACCCAAACACAATCCCCTCTTGTGGCAGTGAGGGCAGCCAAAGCTTCACCCATCTCCACGATGCTCCAGGGCAGCCTGGCAGTGCTCAGGCACATCTCGGCCACACTTACGTGCCCCTCTCAGTGTCTCCAGCATCAGGTCCATCAGCTGCTCGTACACGTTCTGGTTGACGTAGATCTCTGGGGTGAGGAGGACAGTACGAGTGTTGGACACGGTCAGGTTGCGGCAGCGCACTGCGAAGGGCAGCAGATTCTCCGGGACTTTGGTTATCTGTGCAAGGAGAACAAGGCAGTGTTGGTCATCAGAGCACAGAGCTGGGTGACAGAGCTGCCCTCCTCCAGCAGCCTGTGCCCACCTCTTCCCGTGCCCTGCGGAAGCAGGCGTAGAGGTAGCGCAGGATCTGCCTCTCCCCGGCGTCGCGGTCGGCCGACAGGTTCTGGGTGCTGGCAGAGGTCATGTGGATCAAGTGGCTSCCGGGCTCTGGCAGCAGCAGGCGGGTGAACAGGGCCTGGGCACAGCAGAGATGCAGCACAGTGACACRGCCCTGGCACAGAGCTGATCTCTCCAGAGGAGGAAGCTCCACACCACACAGTAACTGATCCTGCAGGGAAGAGCTCTCTATCCCGTGTTATCTAACAGAGTGCTGGAGTGASAACCACCAGCCTGCTTCTGGCCTAAGCAAATCCTCTGGTCTCTTATGGAGTAAYAGCAGCCCCAACAGAAACATTTCCCCTGAAATCCTCAGCAGGAATSACTGATATGGCTGCAAGTGAAGCAGAATGCATGTGTGAACATTGTTGACCAAATTCTCTTTGGTTTTCTTCCTTTTCCCACCCACACAGACCTGCAGGGCAGCAAACTCTCGTTGCCTCCAGAAGGAGGGGTTGGATTCCCCAAATTCTACACCTTTCTCAGTCTCATATCCCAAAAATCTCATGGGCTTTTCCAGCAAAGTCATGAGTGGCAGCTTTGTACCAGGCTTTGGAAAAGTATTTGGGATATGCCATAGGTACACTCGGAAGAAACAAACTCAATTCCTGTAGCCAAAGTCTGCAGATGGCCCGAGGCAGGCAGCCCTACCTGCTCCACGTTGTCCATGTCCAGCCAGTCCTGGTCATCCAGGTCTGTGGCCATTTCCTCCAGGTAGACACAGCGTGCTGGGATCCCATTCCCACTCTTCATGCTGGGGTCACCTGGGGAGGGCAGAGGGAGCTGTTTCACCCCCCTGGATTGGGATCCTGTGGGCAGGACCTGCCCCAGCTGCTGCACCTGGCAATGCCCGCTCCCAGCCATCCCCTCCCATGTCAGCCAAACCCAACAAGCAGAGCTGCCCCAGCCTGGAGCACATCCCCCTCAGGCCGGGGCGTTGCCGGGCTCACTGTTGTCCAGGGTGATGAGGAAGATCCTCTGGATCATGTGGTTGATGTTGAGCTGCTCGCAGAGCTCTCGCTGCGAGCGGAACGAACGGCTGATCTCGGCCACCGAGTAGTCGCAGTCGTCCAGGCTCTCGGAGACGCTGTTGTCGGAGTCATCCTGGCTGACAGAGGTCTCCTCGCCTGCACGACAGAGCGCTCGTTGCCTCGGGGCAGCGCCTCGCCCCCTGCCCGGGCCGGCCCTGCCCAGCGCCAGCCTCCCCTCCCACCTGCCAGCTGCCGCAGCTGCTGCTGCTTCTGGACCGCGGCGAAGTGCTTGGCGGCAGCCACGGAGCCGAAGAGGGCGGCGAAGGGATTGCTGGAGATGCTGTTGTTGTTCTCCTGGTCGGTCATCTCCCCTCAGGGCCGCGCCATACGGGGAGGCCGAGGCA